GGAAGCGCTGGTTGGCTGCTCTGGCTCTTGTGTGGTGTGTTGACCTGGTCGTGGTGCCTCGCGCTGCACGCTCCGCTCCCAGGTCTCGCCCTTCTCGGACTGTTTTCACCCGTACTCCTCGCTCTCGTAGCTTTTGCGCGATCGACTTCGCACTGGCGAAGTTCGTCGTCATGGTCGCCGTCTTGCTGGCCAGGCTCAGCCCGTGCAGCGAAAGTTCCTGCTTGAGGGCGTGCGTGCTCTCGGCCATATGGTCCTCCACTGCTTGCTGGCTGCCCATGATCCTGATGCTGATGCCGTCGAACCATGCTCTCGGGAGCAGGGCTGGAGTACTTGAGGTGCGCGTGAGCATCTTGCCTATCACCGCGTAGACGACTGTCTTGGCAATGCTGTTGAAATGCCTGGAGCCCGCTAGGATGGAGCGGTCTGCCAGCAGGTCGTGCGAGTAGCTGCCCTTGCATCTCATGTGCCTGGTGCTGGAGTGCTGCGGCATCAACAGCGTCAAGATACGCGGGTTGAAGCCCATGGCGAGGGCTTCGGGGATGACGATGTCCATCCTCAGGCCGCCGTATACCTTCTCGATGTCGGCGAACGTGCAGCCCTGGAGGATCTGCGTCTCGTCGCAGCACTCGTCGGTGATGATCCTGCGCATGGCCTCCCGAAGGCAGCTGTTGCCCGCGACGGCGGCGCCCCAGCTCTGCTCATGGTCCTTGGCCCACTTGCGGACGGCTGGGCGGTGGAGTAGTTCCCACGTGCGGACCAGCTGAGGGAGCAATGCCAGAGCTCTGTCACCCTTGCCTGGTTTGGGCATCACCATAACCAGCGAGCACAGGAGCTGCCACGGCCACATCAGCTGGTGTTCGCACGCGTTGAACAAGTCCACGATCGCCTGCCTGCCCTCGAGTGGCAGCCTCCTGATGTCCGAGCAGCTCAGCTTGTCGATCCCCTGTCCTCGGTCGGGCTCGCCCTTGGGCGCCGCGCCGAGGTCCTCCACGGTCCAGGCGCTGTAGTCCGCGCTGAGCGCCTGCGCGCGCAGGTTCTGCAGGATGACGGCGTGCTGCTCGTGGGGGAGCCCGTTGCAGCTCCATATATTGCTGAACACCTCCGCCTTCATGTCTGCAATCTCCACTGGGTAGTCCGTGGTATTGGCTGGCGTCGCGATCTCTTCCTCCCGCCGGACGGGCGGCTTGGTGATCAAGTGAAGCACCCTTGGCTTCGCCTCCGTGTCGGCTAGCCACTGGCAGAAGTGCCTCGTGCTCTCCCTGTAGTCGCGCTTCACCGCTGCGTGCTTCTCCAGCTCGGCCTGTTCAGCCATGCCGTCGATGATGTCCACGGGTACGTTGCCAAGGTTCTTGAGCCTGCTCCTCCAAATCTGGTGGTGGAGTTCCGCCGTGGGGGTAACGTGGCCCTTCAGCTCTGGCATGGTGTAGGCGAGCGCGCGCGCTGCCTTTTCCAACCGTTCCAGCTGCTGGTGCCCTCTGTCTCTCCTCCTCAGCTTAGCCGTCAGCGCGAGTGTCGTTTCCACTCGTGCCCACCAGTCTGCTTTCATGTTCCTGCAGCGCTCTCGCTTCTCGCCTCGCCCCCTGTTCTCTACTTCCTTGAGCTGGCACCCATGCCCTCGGCCCATAAAGCGCGGCCTGTCCTCCAGGGCGACCTTGTGCGCCATGCAGTAGAACCGCTCGATGGTGCCCATGGTCCTCTCGAAGAGCTGGTCCAGCTGGTCGGCCGCTGCTGTCAGGACCTGGTAAGCCGCGCTCTTGCTGATGTGGTCGGGGGTCTCGGTGGTGCGGCCCAGCGCGTTCTCCAGCTGGCTTGAGCACTCCCAGAGGTGCCCCTGCGCGGTGGTGTCGACGTCTTCGATGAGGCGCGTGCTGTAGTCGCGCGGGGGGGGTGTCCGCCTGCGCGCTGTTGCTATCCATGCTCTGCTCGCGGGGCTCTGTGACGTTGGTGCCCTGCTCCTCGGCGGCGTCGGCGGCGCCGTCGTCCTCGGGGAGCTCGGTGGGTGGTGCATCTTCTGGGCTGTTCGCAGGTGAGTCGATCTCTTGGCTGAGCTGATCGAAGGGGCCCAAGGTCTCATCGAGGGTGGTGATTCGTCCCCCATCGGGCCCCCTGGCCCAGCAACTTGGCGACGAAATACCTCCTGCAGGACGGGGGGGGGGGCTGCAGTGCTGGCCCGAAGGCTTGCACCCGGCACCTCTCCCTTGGAGCGGAGGACCTCCTGCTCAACCGCTGCTCCCAACGGCCACAGCGGCGGGCTTCCGACCTCGAAGTTGCTTCCCAGCTGCTGGGGCCTCAGGTCTGGGTGATGGGGCCAGCCTGTCACTGGCTGTAGCGCCCCCCACCTGCTGATGTCCAGCTGCGTCTCTTCCTCTGGGTATGGCGGCGCGTGCTCCCGCGCCAGCACGCGCCGTGCTCCTCCTTATGATTGTGCCTGGGCTGCTCGCTGTAGGCGCCGACGGGTTCGTTTACTCCCCGGTGTCGGCCTCGCCTTCGGTCTCGGCGGGTGAGGGAACGCCTGCGGCGCGTTGAGCTTCCTCGCCATGGTGGCCTGCGCCTCCCCGTTGATGGTGATCTCGAAACCGATGTGCAACTTCCACGGCACGTCGTAGACTGCCTCGACGCCGTCCACGAGCTCGGCGCCTGCGCCGTTGACCATCGCGAAGTCGATGTTCGTAGCGCTGTCGCCGAGGTGGCATGTGGTAGTGCCTGCTGGCAATGCGACGAGGCTGGAGGCGCCCATCGCCTCTGGCCAGCCTGGCGCCCAGAACCCCTGCAGGTCCTTGTTGAAGTCCCTGCAGGCGATCCACGCGCCCTGCAGGCGCTGGAGGAACGCCGCCAAACTCGCCAGCTTCCTGCGGTTGATACCCTCCTTCAAGGACAGGCCCGCGTCCAGGTAGAGGCTGACCACCGTGATCGACGTGCCCCTCATGTGCAAGGTGACTGGCGCCCAGTCGCACATGTCCTCGTCGCCCATGCGATGGCTGTCCTCTATGGTCGTGGCCCTCGTAGTAGTGCCTGGTAATGCTCGCGCTCGGTAGCTGGTGGCTGCGGGCCCCCTTGTGGTGAGGTTGGCGCTGAAGATGGTGCGCTTGGGGGGCGTGCCGCCGCCTCCTCGTGCACGGCAGTGCCCCTGCGCTCGGCGTCGCTGCCTGGCCTGGGCGGTGCCCTTTTCCGTCGCCCTTGGCCTCGCGGATCCCCTGCAAGAGCTGATCGGCTTCGTCCTTCGCCTGGTCCTGCGCTGGGACTGCTGTTACCGCTGCTGCTGCTGCCGTCGGCGGCGCTGCTGCCGCCCCCCCTGAGGCCGAAGCGACTGCGCCGACCCCATCAGCCTTCCTCTTCTTGGCCGCCTGCGCGATGACTCTGCGCTGCTCCTGGGCCTTCTCCTTTGCCTCTGCCAACTGCTGGCGAAGCTGCCCCGTGAAGTTGCACGCGTTCTCTTGCATCTGCTCGACCGCTGAGGCCTTCGCCGCCTCGACGGCCTGCTTAGCCCCCTCGTCCAAGTCCTTGGACTTGGACTTGGACTACGGCTCAAAGTCTACCAAGACTTGCCGGCGATGAGACTAAACGTGAACGACACCTTATCGACCCTCGAGCGTTCGCACAAACGTCGAGCATTCTGCCAGCGCAGCGGCCTCATACCGGAATGAATCCATCCAGGAGCTGTGAAATGCGCCCCCCATTGCTAAGGCCCGCTTCTCCCCACTGCACGAGATGGCCTCGACAATCCAAGCCGACGCGGCGCATGCCCTGCCTTGTGCCCCGCCGTCGGAGTGAACGATCGAGCTGCATTATCGTAGAGATTTGTCTGTGCAAGGCCAATCGAATTCCAGAGACCCCGTCTTCTGCACATCCATGGTGTAATTGGCCAGATAATCCGCCATGACATTGAAACGCCTCCGGCGCCACGCAACCGGGCCCCCCCGCAGACGAGGCGGACGCCATCCCGAGCATAGCAGGTTGACCACGTCGTCGCAAGTGCGTCGTAACAGCGGGGCGGCGGACGGGCCCAAGCAAGGCGCATGTCCACGTGCGATTCTTTGCAGAAGTTGGCAATCCACAATAAACAGAAGGCGTCTGGGCGCGACGCCCCAATTGAAGTCGACTTCCGGCTCAGTCGCTGTGTGGGGCTCCGGGAGACCCTCAAAAACATGGCCACGGGATTTGGGGCTCTTGCCCCCCTAACGCCGTCGTCGCCTCGACGCGCGGCCTGCCCGGCGGGGGCGGCAAGTCCCAGCGAGCGCACGCCTCATTAGCAAAGAACTCTAAATTCGCTCACCAGTCCCGCACCTGGCCAAACTGGTCGTGGAAAGCCCTCCATCCCACACCATGCACCAGCACCAAAACGTCTTCCCATTCGGTGTCGTGACCTGGAGCCGCATGCGATAAGCCTAAACTTCGACGGGAGCGATAAGGTACCTGCTGGGCGCCAGACCACCACTCCCGAGTCCGGAATCTGCGAACCGAGTGAAGGTGATTCAATCCAGCTGGAAATGTTTGATGCTCCTCCCTCCAAGCTTGCTGGAAGATGTCGTACACGATCCGATGGTGAAGTAAGCGGCATGCGAAACGTCCAGCCCATGTCTCGATTGTCCTCGCCGCGCGCTGGTTGTAGACTGCGCTGCCCTCTCCCGGCCTTCTGCGAAGGCGCAGTGCCCTCCGCAAGAATCTGCACCCCCAGCGTTTAGCCGCCAGCAATAAACAAGAAGTTGCGTGCCACGAGTTTGATCCATATGCGAAAGAAGCTGCGGGCCCTGAACACCAGGCCCGAAACTGGTCTCTAGCCGTCCCGAGACCCAGGAAACCCGCCGAATGAGCCCATAAGCAAGCTTCACCCAATTGCTGGCGATGATCGAAGCTGCGCGTGCTCGAACCCCGGCTGTCTAGGAGAACGACTAACGCGTTCATGTGATCTACTCGCTTGAGCGTCAGAGTGACGTTTCCGGGCACATTCAAGCCTACGTCCCCAGTTTCATCAGCTCCTCGGCCCCCGCGGATGTACTGCAACGAGCTTCCCTTCCATGAAAGCTTGAGTGTGTAGATGAGATCCGTCAGCTCCTGGCGCATAGTCAACATCTGTCCAGAAGCCAGAGGGCTGCCGCGATGAAAATATTATCCGCCCAAACTAAAAGCGCAAGCCGCTGGCCAATGCCATAGTGCAGGCCGAAACCTCTGGAGGACCAACTACGGGCCAAATCTTCCAAGCCCGCTTCAACTATCAGGTTCCGCGCGCCCAGGATCCCCTTCCGCCTTGCTTCCCGCCCCGGGACCAAGAAAACCGAGGTGCAGAGCCAGCCGAAGGCGCCGATGAGGATGCGGCGAGTCCGGACACCTCCCGCAATAAACAGCAAACGTGCTCAGCATGAAGGCCCTTTTTGGTCAGCATGTCGCACATCACGCCGTGGTCGATGGAGTCGAAGGCAGTCGCCACGTCCAGGGCAGCTCACGAGACTGCAACATCCCAGCGGCGAGCGAGGAACAGTACCTGACGTAACACGCAGACGATGTCCAAACAATTGAGGCCCGCTTTGAAGCCGCAGTTGCAAACATACGGGGATTCAGCCAGCGTCGGCCGAATGCACTGGATCAGGCTGCTCACGTACCACTTCCAAAAACAATCGATGCTGGAAATCCAACGGAATTTGTCGTAACGCGCCGCGTGTGGCTCTTTAGGGGTGCCCGTCTAATCGATTCCCTTAATCTGCAGGGTCTTCGGAATCGAAATGGGTTTGCCGATGCAGGAAAAGGCGCCAAATGTGAACTATCAAGAAAAATTGAATAGTCTTGTGCACCTCGGGGGGGGGCAGCCGTTCATCCGGGGCGCTGTGTTCGGCTTCATCTTGGCGCGGCCTTGCAGGACGTCGTAAAACGTGAGCCGGCTCGGAAGGACACCATCCAGAATGCAGTTTTGGGCTGCGCTGGATAGAGCGGCCAACCCGGCATACTGGATGGTTGAATCTTTCGCCAAATCCTGGGAACGACGCTTTCCAAATTGTTCGGCTTCCTGCAACCGCTCCGACTGGTCGCGCGCGAGTTCCCCACCGACCTCCATTTGCGTAGGAATGCAACGTCGGGGGGAGGGGCAGCGCGCACCGTCGCTAACTTCGTTCTGTTCCTCTCTTTCCTGCGTTGGCGCATAACTCGTCGAAGGCGTTGCACTGCGGACCTGTGCTCCGTTTGTGGCGCCGACGTCAATGCAATTCGAGCTTGCTTTACCTTCGCGTTTAAGGATCGGCGCGAGGGCGCCTGCCGTGCCGACGTCGTCGTAAACCTGGCATTTGATGCCACCTCCTCCGCGGGCGCGCGAAGCCCCCCCAGGCCGAGGCCGGAGAAACCGACGCACTTCTCCTTGAAAGACTCCTCGTCTTCCTCCGACGCCGGTGTCCAACCTTTCAGGGATCTCCTCGGTATCTCCCCGCGTTCCAGTGGCGCGAGCCCGCGGAGTTCGGGTAGCAGTGGCCTGTGATCAGAGCCCCGGAACAGCTTGCTGCAGAACGCCTGCGAGCGTGCACACCCCGAGACCCTGGGCGCGACGGCCATGAAATCGATCTGGGCGCGCTTCCGGAGCACCCTCCTGGCGCCGCATGTCCGTAGGTCCTCTGGCACAGAAGTTGAGGCAGGCGCGCTGTTGAACGTGTTCAGGGCGCGCGCGTTGAGCGCTTCAAACCATGCAAGTATTATGTTTGCAATTTGCGTCGTGTGGGATTTGGCGCCTGGGAGAACACGATTTCCAGTAACCCCCTTCATGATTCGCAGGTAGGCTGCAGCCGGCGTCAACCGCCAGAAGAATGTCAAAGGCTATTGTTGGGTAGGCTTCTCGGGTGTGTCGGACAAAAC